AAAACTAATTTCATCGTCTGGCGGAGTAAGCTTGGATAGGACGGCCTGGGATCAGTGTCGCCTACTGTCCTGGTTTTTTTTATCTTCAAATTGTTTGGTTGGACCAGCTTTCCCGTTCCCGCAGGAGGGCTTGGGGTGGCTATCGACTAGGATGTGTTTTTGGTGTTTACGTGGTTAGGTTTCGTTAGGGATTTGAATCATTTTAGAGGGTTGGGTTTTGAAGGATGTTAGAAATTATTAAGGGATTTTTGAGGGAGGGGGTGGTTGATAGGGTTTATTTTGTTGAGGGTTTTTGTTGGCGGTTCTTTTTGGGTTATTTTGCGGGTTGTTTTTTTGGATGGGTGGAAGGGGATAGTTGTAGCAATATCTAGGGGGTGCTTTTTTCTGGAATGACGCCGGAGGAGTTTGAAAATTTGTTGGTGAGTTGATGACGGTGGTAAATGGATTATTATAAACTGCTGCACCGTGTCTTCGGGATGTGTTAAAAATATATTGCGGGAGGGGAGGGATGTTGTATGTGCTTCGAAAGGTTTGTAATTTTGCCCGGGAGAGGTGAAATAAGGCGTATGATGCGTTTTCAAGGATTTTTAAGTTTTTGTTATAGGGAGTGTGGATTGTGACCAGGTGGGAAGCGTATGTGATGATGGATCTTGATTGGTTTATTATAGAAGAGTTTTGTTGACCAATTAGGATGGATGCGGAGGTGGTTGATGAAGTTGATTTTTTGGTTTGCCTTGGAAAATTAATGTGTGTAGCTGGGTGGGTCCAGTTAGTTTGGATGAAGGTTGATGCCGAGGTATTTAATTTGCGAGGGACCAGGGGGCATAGAAGTGCTTATTGATGTGATAGGTGGAGGGGGTGTGGATGTTTCGCAAGTGAATAATTGCTTGCATTTAGAAGATTAATTTGATAGTTTCCTGGGAACCATTGCGAGATAGAGTGGCGGCTAGTTGGAGGTTGTGATGGAGTGTTAGCAGGTACGGTTGAGGGGAGAGAAGGGCTAGATCATCTGCGTAAAGAAATTGTCTAATTGCCGTGGCAAGAGGAAAGGTCGTTTAAGTACATTGAGAAGATGAGTGGAGAAAGAACAGCACCTTGTGGAACTCCGTCGAGATGGGTGGAGGGGAGAAGATGTGAGAGATTTTGTTTTAAAAGTTCTGTGTGTTAGCGTAGGTGGATAGGAATTTGTTGCCAAAGTGGGAAGGTAGTTTTTCAGTTTGAATAGGAGAATTGGTGGTTGATTGTTATCGATAGCAAAAGCGATAGTCAGTGAAAAAGGGCAGGATTTGCGAGATTCTATGCGAAGATCTGTGGCGATGTTGATAGCAAGTGAAACGTTTGGAGTGCCTGAGGAACGGTCCCAGGCGAAGCGAATTGTGAAGGTGGATATGGGGGTGGAGTAGGATTCATAAATTTTAAAGGATTTTCTCAAACAGTTTTCCGGTGATAGAGAGGAGGGGGCTGATGGGTCGGATAGTTTTGGCGATATCTAGGTCTATATGGCGTTTGGGGCATCATGATAACAGTGGCGGTTTTCCCAAAGTTTGCGGAAGTGTGCGTTTAAGACAGGCGTTGTAAATTGGTTAAGTGGGAGATTGCGTTTAGGTAAGGTTTTTCAGATAGCTGGGGTAATTTTGTCAGGTCCTGGGGCTGTCGGTTTGGAGGATGTTAATTCGCCTTCAATGTGTTGTCGGTCATTTCGTATAGGCCCACATAGTTTTGTCTCTTCTGGGTTAGGGTGGGTTCGTATGAATTGAGGATGGCGAGTCTGGGATGGCCGAGAGTTGGTGGGAGTGAAACGAGTTTGCAAGGGTGTTTGGCAAAGGTATTTGTTATTTCTTGTTGGATCTTAAAGTAAAGAATTTCCAGGGAGTGAAGAGAGGATAAATGTGTAGTATTTCGGAACGGATGATTGGATTAGATGTGGTTGTAGTTCTTGGGGTTGCCTGTATTACTGTCTGTATTAGTCGTCGAATTTTTGTTTTGTCAAATTGTACTAGTCTATTGATGGAGCTGTTGTTGCAAGGTAGTTTTAAGTAATTTTGTCGGTTATTGATCGATCCTGTAGTAGAGCTTTTGGGCCTGCGTGTTTTCTGAGTAGTAGCAGTATGTCGGGAGGTAGGTGGGGTGGGGCGGGAGTAAAAGTTGATGAGTTATTTGAAGGCTTTCTTGATTTGGTGGGTTTGAAGTGCGCAAATGGCTGAGTCATTTCATCTGGGGTGTAAGGGAAGTGGGAGGTGTATCTTCCTTGAGATTGTGATCGTTTTGAAGGTGGGACCAGTTGGTTTTAGGAAATGTGTGATAGTGTTGGGACGGGGATATGGAGTACGTGTTAGAGAAAATACCGGGAAGATGGTCGGAGCGTCCAGTTCGTATTCTACTTATGGGGCAGTGACCGTTTAGGTTATGGGTTTATGGAGTATTTATGGTCCAGGTAGAGCTATTCATGAGTTGAGAGGTTGCACAGAAGTTCTTGTGATGAGTGGTGGTGAGAATGGGTTTCCTGTCGGGGGAAACCCCACAAACTTGGTATTGATCCCTTTCTTGTTATCTTTTATTAAGAACTGAAATAATTATTTAAAGTTGCTTATATTTTTGCTGCCCCCAAATAGTCTATAAACAAGTTTTTAATTTCATGATTTATTTATAATCCAAAATTGTGATGAAAAACTGAGACTAACATTTGCAATAGTATGAAGTTGTCGGGTTGTTTGGGGTTGGGGTAGGCTCAGGAGCTGAAGGTTCAGAAGAGGAGGTTGATTGGACGGGATGTTCCTCGATGGGGAGAGATGAGAAGGAGTTGCTGGTGGGAAATGGTGTTTAAGAGGGGTTTTCGGGTGCTTTGGCGGTGTGTTTTGGAAATATAAAACCGTCGTTGAGGATTTTCTTGGGTGAGGGTGGAGGGGGGGGATTTTGACTTTTTGGAGAGGTGGGGTTATACCACTGGTGTGTGGGGAACGGGAGCGCTTGGCCGCGGTAACTAATTTCATTTCCTTGGGAATTGCTCGGATATGGACTGCGCATGGGTTTATGTAGTTTCTCTCCTGTCTGCTAATTGGTCGGATGATTAGCCAATGCGGAGAGTGTGCAACGGCCAATCAAGGAGCGGGATCGCCGGGCGGGGTGGAAGAAGGCGCAATGCGCGCAATCGGACGGCGTGGAGCAGCCACCGTGCCGGGTCTCGACCGCGCGTCCTGGAAAAATGGATGCTTCCAGGCATCGTGGAGACGTTGGCCTTGATCAGCATTGAGATTTTTGGGATGTTCAATAATGTCTATTGCCTCTTTAACTCTTCTCGTTCCCCAGTGGTCTTCTCTGGCTAGGAGGCGAGTGTCCTCAAATAAATTGGCGTGGCCAGTTTTCCATGCGTGGAGGGCTACGCCCGATTTATCTGTATTATTGTACTACCATGGCGAATGTGTTCCTGGAGGCGTTCCTCTATGGTCCGTCCGGTCTTGCGAATGTAACTGTGACCGCAACTACATGGGAGCTCGTATACATCTGATGACATGAGAGGAGGTACGCGATCTTTCACACGTACAAACTTTTGACCGAGTTTTTAACTCCAGTCGGGGAAACATGGAAGTCGACGCGAGCACTTCGCAAACCAAAACGTCCACACCGACATTTTTCAACGAAGCACGGGAAGAAAAATATATTTCCGCAGATTGCTGGAGCTATGCTAAATGTTTAGTTTGCAGAAAAGTGCTTAATCACATGAAATTTAATTTGCAACGTTATTCGCATAATTAGGTTGCTGAATATGATAAGTAATCTGAAGAAGAACGTAAGGACGTTTGAAGTGCTATGAATGCGTCTCAAGAAGTAAGTTTGGGATATATTTTGATGTTCCTGTATTGTTTTAACAGTAACATAACACAATATAAAAAAGGGTTATTTTACTTTACAGCAGTTTGGCAAAGAAGACCCTATCATTCTTCTCAAAATGAGCTTCAGTGTTAAACATTCATGAAACACTGAATTTTGGAAAGTGTGTAGATGTATTCAGAACATCGCATTCGGAATTTGAAATCCGATTTAAGGATTTGTTTGATTTACAACTATAGTTTTATTTAATTACTACACCTTTCTTTCTTGATGAAGGCTTTCTTCCTTGTGAT